CATGGCCCCTCCTCCAGCTCCTCACACAGGTGATGTCATGGCCCCTCCCCCAGCTCTTCACACAGGTAACACTGGTGGCCCCTTCCCCAGCTCCTCCCACAGGTGACTTCAGTGGCCCCTTGACAACCATGACTGCTTCGTGGCCCAGATCACAAAAGGGAAAGGAGCTGCAGAGTCCCCACCAGCAGAAAAGCATCCGTAAAGCAAGGGCAACGTGGGAAGGTCAGAGAAAACACAGCACTGAGCACGTGTTCATACTAAGACAAGATTTAAAGCAGCGACGCTGTGCTTCTCTGCAACGTGACGGTTTCCGCATCTGTACGGTAAGAAGCCAGGGGTGAGGCCCAGCCCTGTTTGCAGCCGCCCCTGCCATATGACACAGTGTGGAGGGGAAGGTGGATCCCGCTCGGAGCCCCCCTGGCCATGTGCGCAGACACCTGGCTGCCGAGCACACACACCTGGCCTCTGTGTACATACTACCTGGCCGGGACTGCACCCACTCCCTCATTTGTAAAGTGGGTGTGACCACAGGGTGACCTCAAAGTGCTGGGGGAGGAGGGCATGGTGTCACCTGTTTGTGAGTCACTAGCCTGCAAACCAGAATATCAGGAGCTCCTCCTGGACTGCTGTGACGCGGACCGCTGTGACGTGGCCACGCTGGGCTGGGCCTCCTTGTCTTGTCTGGGTTTCAGCTGGGTCATCCTGGAGGTCACTGGTCCCAGCCCCGAGTGGGCAGAGAGAGGCACAGGGTCCCCGCCCCCACACATTCGGACTCAAGAGGGCTGGGATGGGCTCCGGAATCCGAGTTATTAACAGACCCGTGGTCACCTGCTCAGCAGCTGAAAAGCACTAGGCTAGATTTCCCAAGAACAAACTGCGCGACAACATCTGGAATTGCCTGATACTGCCACACACATAAGCTCTCATAGACTAAGGTCCAAGTTCTTATAGACTAAGAGGAAGACCCTCAATGACATGGACTGACACAGTGGCTGCAACAATGGGCTCAAGCATGATCCCGAGGATGGCGAAGACCGGGCAGTGTTTCGGTCTGTTGTACACAGGGTCACTAGGAGTCGAACCGACTCGACGGCACGTAACAACATCCACAGCCACCTGCATTCACAGGCATGGGACGCACTGCCTTCGGGCCCAAGGACAGTCTGCAGTCTCCCTCGTGGGTGACACTGATGAAGCCTCCAAGTTCATGGTTCCAAACAGACATGCTGGACGGCAAATGCTCTTTATAACTGCAGAGTAACAGAACCCCGTCAAGCTTTAGATCTTAATGGAAGACGCTTCATTGTTTCACCTCAGTGGATATATGGCTTCTTCTGTTTGGTGACCTATATACATACACACGTATTTATCTAAGCAGTTAGCGGATATGAACCGCCAATGTTTTGGTTAACAGCCGAGCTCTTAACCACTGAGCCAAGGCTCTGTTCTTTATGTGTCTGTGTACATATATGCACGTATACATACATACGTATACATGCGGTTGTTGTTAGGTGCTGTCGAGTCAATTCCGACTCAGAGTGACCCCATGTGACAGAGTAGAACCGCCTCATAGGGTTTCCTAGGCTGTAACCTTTATGGGAGCAGATTATTAGGTCTTTCTACTGAGGAGCCCCTGGTAGGTTCAAACCGCCGACCTTTCATTTAGTAGCTGAGTGCTTTAACCATTGTGCCACAAGGGCTCCTTATATACCCGTATATGTGTATGCGTACGTGTACATATACGTATATGTATACATGTACGTACAGCCACTGGTGGTCCAGTGGTAGAATTCTCGCCTTCCACGCAGGAGACCCGGGTTCAATTCCTGGTCAATGCACCTCATGCACAGCCACCACCCATCTGTCAGCGGAGGCTTGTGTGTTGCCAGCATGTGGAACAGGTTTCAACGGAGCTTCTACACTAAGGTGGACTAGGAAGAAAGGCCTGGTGATCTACTTCCGAAAATCAGCCAACAAAACAAATCCCTGTGGAACACAACAGTCCGATCCCATTGTACATGGAGTTGCCATGAGAGACGGAGGCCGACCTGACGGCATTACAGACTAATTCTTGAAACATAATTAACAATATCTAAGAAAAACTGTTGTTTCACCTTTTGCCACTCCCTCATCTTTATAATTACAGGCACCTGAATGATAAGGGTTAACACCATGTCCTATAACCCAAGAGCTATTCTTTATTTCTGGGCCCCTTTAGAACCTCGTTGCTCCAGAAAGCAGACACTAAAAGAAAGTTGAAAATCTTATGAAAATACTTCAAGCAGGGTTCTGTTCTGGGGGAAAAAGGCAAATATGTCCAACCTTTTCACTGCAAAACTTACAGTTACAACAAATACGAGGCTTACAGACCCCAACGCCTGCGCCTTGCCCTTTAGAAGCTGCGTGAGAGGCCACTTGTCGATGGGAGACTTGGGGATACGAGGGCCATATCCAGCTTTGGCCGCACCTCAGGCCCTGGCCAGCTCCGTGAGCTGTGATTACGACCACCTAGAGCTGCCACCCGATCACCCCGTGTGATAATAAGATGCCCAGGTGACAGTTATGGACCTATTTTATCAAAAAAACAAATTTTGTGCCGCCAGAAAATGAAAGAAAACACTATTCAAAACCGAGAGCTTTTTGCCAACTTTGTCCCAGCTGGACTCGGTGGAGAGGACTTGACACCTCAGCAGAGCCGCTCAGGGAGCCGATGCACCCCCACCCCACGCAGCTCCCGTCTGTGGGGCAGACAGATGTCAGCCAGCCAGAGCACCTCCTGCCGCAGGGCTCCCCCAGCTGCCCTCCACGTGGACAGCGCTTCTGCTCCCCAACAAGGGGACTCCCTCCCTCCCCTGCCCACGTATTTCTGATGGCCCTGTATGAACTTGGGGGGCAGGTGAGGAGGGAAACTGCATGACCCACACGTGTGACTGGACATCTTAGTAACCACAGCTGTTGTAAGCTGCCGTCGAGGTGACCCCGGGTCACGGTGACCCCACGTGTGCAGAGTAGAACTGCTCCATAGGATTTCAGTGGCTGTGTCCTTTCAGAAGCAGATCCCTAGACCTGTCTTCCGAGGTGCCTCTGGGTGGACTTGAACTGCCAACCTCTTGGTTAGTAGTCGAGCGCTTAACTGTTTGCTCCACCAGGGCCTTTGTAACTCCAATGACTGGGTCTGATGACGACAGCGGCTGTAGAAGTGGTGCCGGGGGCCTCTTCTCGGTGGACTCTGGGCTAAAGAACCATCTCCCCTGGGTGTCGCCCGGCAGGCTGAGCGTTCTGTTTTTTCTCACAGTAAAGCCTGCGGCTGGGCTATCCCCATCACTGCTTAGGGGAACACAATGACTCATCCAGCCGTGTTCTTTACAATCGACAGGAAATAAAGCTCCTCGCTCTACAGATAACTGTTTCACCAAAACTTTCCCCAAAAGCTAAATGAAAGGGTCTCAAAGAAATCATTTTCCTTTGACACAGCATTAAAACCATCACCATAATCACGGACCCACAAGCCACTATGCTAACCCAATCCCCTGGAAGCGAGTCTTTGTGCTGAGAACACCCTGGTGCACCATGTCAGGGGCCACTGACCCCAGCGCCGTGCTGACAAGGCCCACAACCGAGCCTTCACCAGCTCAATGTGCCGGCCAGCTCCCCAAAGCCAAGGTTAACGCGCGTTACTGGAGGGGGCGTGGGGCGTGCAGAAGGGGCTGCAGGAACTAAAAACAAAACAGAAAACCGTTGCCATCAAGTCAATTCCGACTCATGGCGACCCTACAGGGCAGAGCAGGACTGCCTCCGAAGGGTTTCCAAGGCTGTGATTTTTATGGAAGAAGACTGCCACATCTTTCTCCCGAGGAGTGGCTGGTGGGTTCGAACTGCCCACCTTTCAGTTAGCAACTGAGCAGTTAATCCCTGTGCCACCAGGGCAGAGCAGACTCATTTAAAAGGGGCTCAGGAGCAGAGGGCCCTGGTAGGGGCTGCCCCTCAGGCAGGGCAGGGCAGCCTGGGCTCCGAGCTCTCCCTGCCCCTCTGCCCAGCGCTCTGGGTGACCATGGCCTCGGGCCCATTCTGCAGCCATACAATGGGGTGGTTAAGGCAGTGGTGAGCTGGTGATACGTGCAGAAGGTGTGTGTGGAATGTCTGCCTGCAGCCAGCCAGCAACCCATGGGAAGGAGGGGAGGCCCCCGCCCAGCCGAATTGTTTGCAAAGGCTTGGACTAAGCAGGCACAAGCCCACACCCTTCACTCAGCTGATGCTGTGAGTTTTCCAAGAATGAACTGCTTCCTAGAAAGATGCCAAATGCACCAATCAGCGTGGTTCCAGTCTCCCTCCTGTGCCTCCCTAAAAACCACTGCCATCGAGTCAATTCTGACTCACAGCAACCCTACAGGACAGAGTAGAACTGCCTCACAGAGCTCCCAAGGAGCGGCTGGTAGACTCGAACTGCCGGCCTTTTGGTTAGCAGCCGTAACTTTTAACCGCTGTGCCACCAGGGCTTCCCCACACCTCCCTGCACACACACAAAGCTGGAGATCTGGCAAGGACACAGGTCCAGCTGTCAGATAAACCCACCGCCCACAGTCAGGGCCGAGGCCAACCCACCTTCCCCGACAGGTGCTTCTGGAGATGGCAAGGGGTGGTGCTGAGTGTGACGTGCCGTCTGCTCAGGGCTGGGCACGAAGCAGGCTGCGCTGCTGCTGTTGTTGGGTGGGATGGACACGATATGGCTCATCAGCCATCTCTCAGAATAGCACACGATGGTTGGGTAAAATCATAATTTACACAAAGTAACAGGCCTAAAGGAAAAACCAAGACTGGCGTTTCCCCACAGAGCACGGCACTGTTGGCGCTGACGGCCGTCGAGCTGATACTGGCTCTTGGCGACCCCCTGTGCAGAGCAGAACTGCTCCACAGGGTTTTCAAGGCTGTGACCTTTCGGAAGCAGATCGCCAGGCCTGGCTTCTGAGGTGCCTCTTGGATGGGCTGGAACCGTCAACCTCTTGGCAAGGAGTTGAGCACTAACGATGTGCGCCCCCAACCCGGGGCCCCGCGTGCGCGCCCGCCCCCCGGGGCCTTGTGTGCGCGCCCGCCCCCCGGGGCCCTGCATGTGTGCCCCCAGGGGCCCTGCGTGTGCACCCCCCACCTGGGGCCCTGCGTGTGTGCCCCAGGGGCCCTGCGTGTGCATCCCCCACCCGGGGCCCTGCGTGTGCACCCCCCACCCGGGGCCCTGCATGTGTGTCCCCAGGGGCCCTGCATGTGCACCCCCCACCTGGGGCCCTGCGTGTGTGTCCCCAGGGGCCCTGCGTGTGCACCCCCAACCCGGGGCCCTGTGTGTGCGCCCGACCCCCGGGGCCTTGTGTGCGCGCCCGCCCCCCGGGGCCCTGCGTGCGTGCCCCCAGGGGCCCTGCGTGTGCATCCCCCACCTGGGGCCCTGCGTGTGCACCCCCCACCTGGGGCCCTGAGTGTGTGTCCCCAGGGGCCCTGCGTGTGCACCCCCCACCCGGGGCCCTGCGTGTGCACCCCCCACCTGGGGCCCTGCATGTGCACCCCCAGGGGCTGTGTGCACGTTGCTCCCTGCAGGCAGGAGACCCGAGTAACAACGCTGAGAGCAGACAGACCACCCGGTGTCCCTGAGGCTGCTTGCACAGCACACTCAACACTCCCAAAGACGGGCACGTACCTGCGGGGATGATGCCGATCCTGAGCGGGCTAGGGACCAGGGCCGCGCAGGGGTGGTTCTGGTCCACGCTGGCGTTCTGCTGCGTCCTTCCGATCAGGCCGTGTAGGACCTCGCTGAATGTGCCGTCCCCGCCAACACAGACAATTCTGCGGAGGAGAGCAGCGTTAGAACCACGCAGTCTCCGGGAGAAGATGCATGAGCACTCCAGCGACGGCGCACTCTCCATTCTCACCCCGCACTCAGGGTTCGGGGTGTCCCACCGATCCGGCCGACCTGGCATCCAGCCTCCCTCCTAGTGCCCTGCCCGTCTGTCACTGCGGCCGAAACAGTGTCCCGCTGTCCCACCGTCTGCAACAGCCATTAGCTGTGCCTGCTTGTCCCCTGCCCCCTCGGCTGGGTGGCCACCTGCCACCTGTGTCCTTTCTCCACGTGACTCACTAGCTCACTCCTATCTTTTCAGAGCTTCCGCGCCAGTGAGAGGGCCCCCCGGTCACGTACACACTGACAATGCTCCCAGCAGCCCCGCACAGAAGACTTTTGATCCTAGTTTACCTACAACATGGAGTCCCTGGGTGGTGCAAAGCGAAAGGCTGGAGGTTCAAGTTCACCCAGAAGTGCCTTGGAAGAAGGCCTAGAGACCTACTTCCAAAAAATCAGGCACTGAAAACCCTGTGGAGCACAATTCTACTCTGACACACATGGGGGTGCTATGAGTCGGGGTCCACTCCATGGCAACTGGTTACCTACAAGGAGACTGAGGCTCAGAGAGGCCGTGCAGGCTGCTGGGGGCGCGCAGCTGCAAGGAGGCAGGGCAGGACGAGGGAGTCCTTGCACGCCCTCACTGCCCGCTCACGCCCGCTCACCCACAACCACGCCCCGCTCCAGGTGCCGGCCCTTCCCTTCCCCTACACACCCTGCTCTTCCCTCCAGAGGTGGCCTGCTAACAAAGAAAATCAAAGATAGAAACAGGGCCTTTCCCTGCACCCATATTCTGCCTCTGTCCCCGACCCACAAGTGTGAATCTGGCTCATTTTCGCATCCTCCACGGTAAACGACCCCCACCAAGGCCAAGTAACCCCATGCCCCATCCTGCAGGCACCTTCTAAAATATCTCAAATACTGTCCCCGGGCCACTCTACAGCAGGTGACACGTGTCCTTCCCTCCGTGAGGCTCCCGGCCCAGCCCCCACCGCACACTCTCGTGGGTGCGACCTCCAACCCTTCTCTCCCATTTCCCACTCGGCTCTTCCGTCAGAGCACTGTCAACGCTGCACTGCACAGAATCCCGAACGCAGCCCCTCTGCTGCTGCACACCCCCAGGAACGCCAACTCCTAAGTCTACACCTTCAAGAGAAACGCACGTCTTCCTCCAGACCCCTCATCTGAGGCCGGCTCTTGACACAGCCAGATGTCCCCTGGGGGCACTGTCACCCTCTGAGAACCCCACTCTCCTCGTGTCATCTACTCCCACGTCCCTTCCTCAGCCCTGAGTCAGGCCGGGATCATGCCGTGGACGAGGAACCTCGGGCACGACCTCGGGCACGAAGGACTAAGTGGTCCGTCCAGGTCCAAGCCTGGGGCAGCAGAGCCTGGCGTCAGGACTTTGCGATGACCTGACCCCACACCTCACCACTGGCACGCCCCAAACCCCTGCACCGGCCGCCTGCAAAACCTGCCTCAACGCCCGCCTCCTGGCTGGGACGGCAGCATCATCCTCCCCCTCACCTGGGTCAGAAGCCTCAGTGTCATCTTCGTTAATATTCTGCCGTGGAGATGCGTCAGTTCTACCCCCAAGGTCTCTGGAAACACCCCTCTCTGCACGCAGCCTCTGTCCAGCTCAGTCCTCATCCCCGCCTGCCCGCCACACCCATCCAGCACTCCGCCTGGCCCCGTCCATTTCCAGCTCATTACTAATCGCCACCTGGCTTCCGAAGTCCTTTGCGAAAATGCAAACGGGGCCTCTGTGGATGCCTCTGTTGATACTCTTTCTCGGGCCCCGGCACCTGCAGAATGACCCACCTCTCACCGCCATGCGGCAGGCACTGCGCTGGGTGCAGGAGACAGCCGGCCCCCGGGGCTGGTGCTGTCGCAGGCACAGACAAAATAAATACCAAACGGCATGGCAACGGGGCAGCCTGGAATCACGTGCATCCTGGCACAGTGCACTATGAAGAACACGAGGTACCTTCCGTGTTCGTGTGGCACACAGGCGTGGCCAGTCACGGCGAGGCCCCAGACAGCCCGAACGGAGGGACGGTTCTGCAAGGTAACTGGCCCGTGCTCCTCACAGCCGTCATCAGGATACACAAAGTGGGGGGCAAAGCAGCCATTCCACATGCATGGAGACCGAAGAGACATGTGGTGCACACAGTTAACGTGCTCCGCTGCTAACTGAAAGGCTGGCGGCTCATGTCCACCTGGAGGTGCCTCGGAAGAAAGGCCTGGCCATCTACTTCCAAAAAAATCAGCCATTGAAAACCCTATGGAACACAGTTCTACTCTGACACACGTGGGGTCGGAGTTAACTCGACGGCAGCTGGCTCCAGTCAACACACGTGACAGCTGGATTTAAAAGCAAGGCACGATCCGGGGTTGTCTTTTGCTATAAAGAAGTATGGAGCATCCGACGTATGCTGAATACGGAGCAGCAGAAATGATGGCCATCACTTGCTAAGAACGCATGGCCAGGAGCCAGCTGCCCCCGGGGAAAGGGCTTGTATCTGGAGGCGAGCCTTGGCGTCACAACTCGCTGGGTAGGTGACTTGGTCTGTAACTAACAGCCAGCGCCTACACTGGCTGCAAAGGAAGATAACGGACTTGGCCGCTGTTCGGATCAAGCCTGGGGATGAAGTGCGTGAAAGGGCGCTGCCTGCAACACGCTGACGTTCGAGAAGAGGGAAGGAACGGCCCCCTCCCGTCAGCATTCCGAGGGTAGATGGGTTTTATTTCCTTTCTAACCTTAGCACCCGAGGAATCCCTATGGGGCAGTTCTCCTCTGTCCTATAAGGTCCCTTTGAGTCGGGATCGGCTCCACGGCATACAACCACCACCACTACCACAACCCCCTCAGCACCCAGCACAGTGCCTGGGCTCCGCAGATACTCGGTAATGCTTGCGGAATGAATAACGACTCTAAAAAAATATTCCCAGCGTAGCTTAGAACACGGTGCCCACAAAGTCCCAGATGGAACAGAAGAGTTAAAATGTCCAGCAATTAAAAAGCAGGTGAAGTACAGGGCACTATTTCACTCAACTCAGGATGAATGAATTTCTAAGCACAAAGAAAAGCTGAGAAGGGGGAGGATACATGTGAATACATAAATGTGAAAATTTGTACTGGCCGGAAACACACCATAAGCAAAATTAAAAGACAATTAGCAAACTAGGAAAAATATTAGCAAAACGTTATGACAATAAGTATGACTTGCCTACTATTTGTTGAACAAAAGAACACACGAAGATTATAGCCAACAGAGAAGGAAAAATGGGCCAGGAAATAAGAATTAATTCAAAGAGGAAATTCAGTTAGTCAATAAGCACGTTTTTTAAAAGCCTGAGTATTTTCACATGTCCAACCAGCAGGGGGTGTAAAGTGATGGCGCCAAATACGTTGGCAAGGATAATGGATCTATATTCCGAGAAAGAATATAAATTAATAGACCTTTCTAGGAAGCAATATGGCAGTACACAGCAGAGATTTTAAAACTAATCCCCTACGACTGAGTAATTCCATTTACAGGAATTTAGCTTGAAAAAAAAATGAAGATGTCTGCAGAGGTATTTGCGTACAGGAGTGCTATTTTACGAGAAGGTGGCTTAACTTGAAGAATGTCATCAACGTCACTGAATTGTACACGCAGAAACTGTTGAGATGGCATATGTTTTGTTACATATATTTTCACCACAATAAAGTGTTTAAAGAAAAGAATGCTATTTTATTGTACGAGCAGAAAGTGGAAAGAGCCTAAGCATCCCGTAATAAGCAGCTAGCTGAATAAATTATGGTATGTCCATATACTAGAACATGATACAGGCATTAGAAATAACACTTTGGAGGAAGCTTTAAAGATGTGGGAAAATTCTTAACATGTAATAAAAAAAGCAGAATCTCAACTTTGTTTAATCAGCATTACTCCTATTTTCGTATATCCCCACCATCACCACCACCACCAGTTCCTGTCCAGGTGACTCTGACTCATGATGGCACCCCATGCGTGTCAGTAAAACTGTGCTCCACAGGTTCTCGATGGCTGAGTTTGCAGAAGTAAACTGCCAGGCCTTTCTTCCAAGGCACCTCTGGGGGGAACTTGAACCTCCACCCTTTGGGCTAGGAGCTGAGCAGTCTAATCGTTTGCACCACCCAGGGGCTCCTGAGTTGATACAGAGCGATATAAACATGTATTTCAATGACTGAAAGGAAAACACACAAGTAGTCAACAGTGGTGACCACCAAGTAGTGGGAGAATGTGTGGCCCTGAACATTTCTGCCTTTTCCATACTTTCTACAAGAAGCATGTTCTACTTTTACAATTAGGGTAAAAAAATAATAATAATTAAAGGAAAGGGAGGTGACATGCTAAGGTATGTGGGTAAAACTTGATTAGAACTTACTATCTTTGTTGTTGGGTGCCATCGAGGCGATTCTGACCCATAACGATCCCGTGTGACAGAGAAGAACTGCCCCATAGGGTTTTCTAGGCTGTGTGATCTTCACAGGAGCAGACGCCAGGTCTTTCTCCTGAGGAGCTGCCGGGTGGGTTCAAACCGCCCACCTTTTGGTTAACAGCCGAGTGCTTAAGCACTGTGTCGCCCAGGCTCCTTCACTATCTACTAATCGGGATGAAAGAAAGTTTACTCACCCATCATATTTCTCTATATTCATCTCGTATAAACTCTCCTTAGCATGATTAGCACGTTCAGTCACTGCGGAAAAAAATAACATCACCTCGTAGAGCTTATCTTCAGATGTATGGATCCATATTGAAAATAAAAGGCAAATAAACCGTTCTTTAAAAATAAGGTCCTAAAACATCTCAGGGGATTTCCTGTAAGAAATTCCTTCTTAGATCTTACCCTAATCCCTTTAGAGAAAGGGGATCCGGCTGACATCAGTGGAATACCACCTCTCAGGATACATTCTGCTGGGTAAGATCCAAAACGCTTGGCATTTAATTTTCCACAAGTACTACTTAGCTAGTAAAAGATTACTTCTTTTAAAAACTTTTATAGTTTTTCTCTTATCATACAAGTTAATTTGAAAATTTTAGAAAGCTAGTAAAAGATTACTTCTTTTAAAAACTTTTATAGTTTTTTTCTTATCATACAAGTTAATTTGAAAATTTTAGAATACACTAAAAAGGAGGAGGAAATGTTATAAAACTATTAAAATATATTCGAAAGTAGAAGAAAATGTTAGTCCACAGTCTCTATGCCCAAAGTGAAAATAATTGTCATTTTCACCATTTTTAAGTGTACAATTCAGTGTGCAATTCACCCTGCCGTACAATCATCACCACTATTCTTTTTCCGAAAGGTTTTCATCACCCTAAACAGGAACAGATTCTCTGCAGTCTGCTTTTCTCATTGTCCAGCTTTCACATGCATATGAGGTCACTGAAAGCACCCTGGCTTGGGTCAGGCACACCTGAGTCTTTAAAGTGACATCTTGGCTTTTTAACACTTCGGTCTCTAAAATAATATAATAATAACAGTATACTTCACACATAAATCTTTATACTTGTTTTTCTTTCAATATTATATCATAATTATTTTTTGTAGCAATAAAAATTCTTTTTAAAGACCACTTTCAAAAGATGGAAACCCTAGTGGCATAGTGGTTAAGACCTACGGCTGTTAACCAAAAAGTCAGCAGTTCGAATCCACCAGGTGCTCCTTGGAAACCCTACGGGGCAGTTCTACTCTGTCCTATAGGGTCGCTATGAATCAGAATCGACTCGACGGCAGCAGGTTTGGTTTTTTTTTGGTTTCAAAAGATACATAATGCTCCTAAGATATACCACAGTTTTATTTTTATGGCTCCTGTTTGGGGGCAATTTAAATTGCTTCCAATGTTAGGCTAATTTAAAAAAAGTGGCAGCAGCCATTGCCATCTATCAGACTTTGTGCACATCTGATAATAGTCTCAGGAAAGATTTAAAAACATGGCATACTGGCCCCAAATCCTCTCATTTTTAAGGTTCTTGCCGCACACGGCCCAGCAGCTCTTTAACAAGGTCCCACAAAATCATCAAGGCATCGAAAGGGAGGAAGACAGCCCTCTCTCACAGGTTCCAGCATTGAGATGCAAGAGGGCTTGCATTTAAAATGCTGGGACATTTTGATCTAAGATTCTATAGAAGAATCCTGAACAAAAGGGGGAAAAAAACCTGGAACAAAATTATAAATTCTCAGTGGAATCCAGACTTTCTAGAGCCAGTGAGGCTGGATGAACCCCCAAAACTATTGCCCCGATATAATCTTTAAACTTTAAACCTCAAGCCAAAACTTTTCCCGGAAGTCAGCTTTGAACCAAACAACCAAAAAAATCCAGCCGTTGAGTCAATCCTGACTCATGGTGTCCCTACAGGACAGAGTAGAACTGCCCCATAGGGTTTCCGAGGCTATAATCTTTACAGAAGCAGACTGCCACATCTTTCTCCTGCAGAGCCTCTGGGGGGTCTGAACCGCTGACCTTTCCGTTATCAGCCAAGCACTTAACCAGTGCCCCACCTCGGCTCCTGAACCAAACAACAGTTTAACCTAATTAGTAAAGTACGTCTGCCTTGAGCATCGTGCTCTCTCTAAGATCTGTCTATGTGAGATCAAACTGTAACAGCATCTTAAGAGGTTAGATGAGAAGCTTAGGGGGCAGGGAGTTTATGTCCACGGTGGTGGGATAATTTGGAAACGGACAGCCAGAAGGGTTTCACAACTTAAAAAATGTAAACAATGTCACTGAATCATACAAGTAGAATCTGTTGAAACAGTGTATCCTTCGCTGTGTATGTTTTCACACACAAAATTTAATCTAAAAAAAAAAAGTATCACATTACATTTCTTCACATTTCACTTACTGGTAAAATTATTTCCGAGATTCATTAATCACTTGTATCTTTTCTTTCGAGAATTTCCTGTCCATGACCTTTGACCTTCTATCTTCTTCCTGTTTTCTTTTTATATGCTTAGAATATTTACCCTTGGCTAGAAAAGACTACATTGTTTATTTTGCATTCTTTCTATTCTTGTAGGCAAGAAAAAAAATTGTTTTGTTTAAAACAATCTTACAAGATAAAAATCTTCCCAAGTGACTATCTTTGAATTACCTCAAATTTGCTTCTACATATTTATTTTAAGAAGAAGTGATAACTTGCAAGTGGCCATTCAAAGTAGAACAATTGGCCTCTATTCGCCTGGAGCAACAGAGGAAGACAGTGAGTCAGGAATAGGAGAAAATGGAATGTGTGGCGGATTGCCTCCATAAACAACTGCCTCCACGAACAACTGCCTCCTTTGCCATGACAAGAAGAACTGGATGGTGCCCAGTGACCATTACTAAGTGTTTTGATCAAAGACTGTATAGAAGAATCCTGATCAAAAGGGGGAAAATGTGGAAGAGAATTTAAAATTCTCATGGACTCCAGACTTTCTGGAGCCATGGGGGCTTGATAAACCCCCAAAACTATTGCCCTATGATAATCCTTAAACTTTAAACCTTAAACCAAAAATATCTTCTGAAGTCTTCTTAAAACCAAATAATAGTTTAGCTTAGCTAGTAAAGAATGTCTGCCTTGAGCCTTGCAGGCTTTTAAGAACTGTCTACATGGGATCAAACTGACAACAGCAACTTGAAAGATTAAATAGAAAACTTAGAGGGCAGTGAGTTTATGTTAATGGAGGAGGAACAACTCAGAGAAGGAGGGTGAGAACGGCTGTACAACTCAGAGAACAATCAGTGTCACTGAATTGTACGTGTAGACACTTTTGAATCGGTGTATGTCTGCAGTGTATATTCTCAACAACAAATTATTTTAAAAAAAGAAGTAATACCTTACCAATTATCTCAGTGTTGATGGAGGCTAAAGCAAATAACGGAGCCACCTTCTTTTCATAGATCCTCTTGCCTTGTCCTTTTCCTCCAAATGGATTGATAAACACCAGTAAATGCTTTGGCCTACATGCTGCCGAAAAGAAAATAATTTAAAAATCAATCACAATAAATGTAACAAATAATCAAAATTAAGACTGTGTTACTGAACAAAATCAAACCATAATGATTTTAGAATTCTGCTTCGTGTTACCTCATTAAAGTATTTTTAAATCTTAAGGAAGAGCTATAAAAAGTTTCCTAATCTGTTAAAAGCAAAAAAAAACCCAAAAACAAGGCAGGCTGTCAGAATGGGCAAGGTCCCTGGGCACCTCAGACAGTTGGCTCTTGACTACTAAAGGTTGGCGGTTCGAACCCACCCAGCGGCATCATGGAAGAAAGGCCTGGCAATCTGCTTCCATTAAGATGACAGCCAAGAAAACCCTATGGAGCAGTTCTGCTCTGTAGCATGGTATGGCCATGAGTCAGAACTGACTCGATGCTGACAGGTTTGGTGTCTTCCTCAAGAATGGGCACAGCCACTGGATGCTATGAGGGTCCCCAGGACTCCGAGTTCTGTCGGGGAGAGAGACTCACTCACTGCTTATGAAGCAGCCCGTCAGATGTGAGTTCTGCAAGGTGGCAGCCTCATTCTTTGCCGTGTGAAAGAAAACAAGCTTGCAGAGAACAAGGAGAATGAAGCAGATGCACAGAAAGGGGCATCTGGACAGACAGACAGACAGACTTAGTCACAGAAAGAAAAGCCTTGGAATGAGACGGACAGAGAGATGGAAAGACAGAAACCAAATGGATCCCAGCCCTCTGGTTATACGCCCTCTCAGCAGGCCCAGCTTAACACCTACACTGGGGTTTCAAGTTGTTGCTGGGTGTCACCGAGTTGATTCCGACTCACAGCGACCCCCTGTGACAGAGCAGAACTGCCCCGTATGATTTCCTAGGCTGTCATCTCTACAGGAGCAGATCGCCAGGTCTTTCTCCTGGGGAGCCGCTGAGTTTGAACTGCCGACCTTTCGGTTAGCAGCCGAGCACTTAACCACTGGGCCACCACGGCTCCCTGGGGGTCTCGTGAGTCTTTCCTATTTCTTACAATAACTTCCATATTTCTGTTTCGGTCAATTCAAGTAGCTGCTCTTACTTAACACGAAATGTAACTCACACATCAGTGAGAGCAGCAAGTATTTACCCAGGAGAATTGAAAACATGGCCGCACAAGAACACGTGCACCAACATCCACAGCAGCACCATTCACAACGGCCAGAAAGTGGAAACAAGCCCCGTGCCATCGCCAGGTGAATGGATGGACCAAATGGGATCACACAAACGGAATATTATTCAGCCATAAAAACGACCGAAGTCCCAATACAATCCGTGCTACAACATGGGTGGACCTTGAGAACATCATGCTGAATGAAAGCAGCCAGTCACAAAAGGGCACACAGTGTATCATTCCATTTACAGGAAACACCCAGAACAGGCAACTCCATACTGATGAAAGAAACATAGCAAAATGTGAACAGCTGTAGAATCTAGGTGGTGGGTTTATGAATGCTTATGGTACAATTCTTTCAGTCTTTCCATATCTTTGGAGATGTTCATAATAAAATATTAGGAGGAAATATGCAATACAGAAAAACAAACCAAAGCAAAAGCTGGTTCTTTGCAAAAACTCCTAAAAATGGACATATCCCTAATAAAACTGATAAACAAAAAGGGAGAAAAGACAAATTACCAACATCAGGAATGAGTAAGGGGACATCAGTCTTGGGAGTGATCTATAAATACTACAAAGAAAACAAAAGGATCTGTTGATAAATTTATGCCAATAATTTTATAAAGCTAGATGAAACAGACAAATTTCTCAAAAAATTCAATTTACCGACAGAAGAGTTAGAACATCTGAATAGTCTGATATCTAATAAAGAAATGGGAACCGTCACCAAAAACCTTCCCACAGGCCTAGAGGGCTTCACCAGTGAAGTCCTCCGAACATTTAAGGGAAAAATAACCCCACGTTATACAAACTTTTTCAGAGAATAGAAAAAAGGAAGGGAGGGAAGGAAGGAGGGAGAAAGGAAGGAAGGAAGGAGGGAAGCAGATAGATTTCTCAACTTCTCAGTGAGACCACTGTAACCTTGAGGACAAACCCAGCCAAGGACATTATCAGAAAGGAAACTTAGAGCCCCACTGCCCCCCTTAGGTGGAAAAATCCTAAACTAAATACCGGTAAGTCAAATGCAGCAATATATAGAAAGGGTGATACATCATGACCAGGTGGGGCTTACTCCAGGAATGCAAAGGGCTTAAACAAGGAGAAATCAATGTGATTCATCATCACACTAATCCAAAAAGATAATCATCTGATCATCTTAATAGATGTAGAAAAATCACTGATCAAATTCGACACCCATTCATGATAAAAACTCTCAGCAAACTAGGATTAGAAGCGAACTTAATATGATAAAAAGAATCTATTTCAAAAACAGCCTAAGCAAGCATCCGTCTTAATGATGAAATGATGAAAACTTCCCCCCAGAGGCCAGGAATGCGACAAAGGTGCCTGCTGTCACTGCTGCAATGGGGGGTCCAAACCAGGGCAACAACACGAGAAAAAGAAATAAAAGGGTAAGAATTGGAATGGAAGAAATGTAACTGCCATTATTCACAGATGACATGATTGTATTTCTAGAAAATCATCCAACTATTAGAATCAATGAGGGAATTTAGCAAGGTCACTGGAAACAAGGCCAATATACCAAATTCAACTATTCTTATATATACAAGCAACAAACAAAAGACAAAATAGAGACACTATGGGCCGGTGGGGAAAGGACAGTCTTTTCAATAAATGACACTGGGTCAATCAGATGTCTATATTTTTAAAAAATGAACCTTGACTGCTTACCTCACACCATTGTACAAAAATCAATCCCAAAGAGTTTATCGACCTCAATGTGAAAGGCAAAACAACAAAGCTTTGAGAAGAAAACACAGGAGGACAGCTTCACGACCTTGGAGCAGACGCAGATGGCTAAAATAGAACACGACCTAACCACGAAGTTTAAAAAGAAACAAACAACCAAGATAAATGGGACTATATTAAAGTGAAGAACTTCTGTTCACCAAAAGACACCGATAAGACAGTGAAAAGGCAAGCCACGTAACGGGAGAAGATATCTGTCATTCATAAATTCGATAAAAGATTCAGACCCACATATGCATACTTTCTCGTTGTTGTTAGGTGCCGTTGAGTCGGTGACCCTATGTACAACAGAAGGAAACAATGCCTGGGCCAGTGCCACCCTGACAGTCGCCGCTATGCTTGAGCCCGTTGTTGCAGCCACTGTGTCAATCCATCTCTTTGAGGGTCTTCCACTTTTTCGCTGACCCTCTACTTTACTAAGCACGATGTCCTTCTCCAGGACTGATCCCGCCTGATCACATGTCCAAAGCATGTGAGAGTAGTCTCGCCATCCTTGCTTCTAAGGAGCATTCTGGCTGTACTTCTTCCAAGACAGATTTGTTTGTTCTTCTGGCCGTCCGTTGTATATTCAATATTGTTCACCAACACCATAATTCAAAGGTGTCAATTCTTCTTCAGTCTTCCCTATTCATCGTCCAGCTTTCGCATGCATTTGCGAAACACCATGGCGCACCTTAGCCTTCAAGGTAACATCTTTGCTTTTCAACACTTCAAAGAGGTCTTTTGCAGCAGATCTGCCCAACGCAATGTATCGTTGATTTCTTGACTGCTGCTTCCATGGGTGTCAACTGTGGATCCAAGTAAAATGAAATCCTTGACAACTTCAATCTTTTCTTTGTTTATCATGATGCATACTCTACCACCCAGCAATTCCATTCCTAGGTATACACCCAAGAGAAATGCAAACACATGTTCACCAGACAACATGTAATAGAATATTTATAGCAGGATTATTTGTAATAGCCCAAATCAGGATGCTATGGAAATGGCCATCAACAGTAAAATGCATGAATAAATGGTCGTGTATTCACACCATGGAATATGGAATTCTACACAGCCATGGGCATGAACAACCTCCAACCACATACAAAGAATTTCTACATATCATTAAGGAAAAGACATACAATCCAACAGAAAAATGGGCGAAAGACTTGAACCGACACCTCACAAAAGAGGATGTTCAAGTGACCCATAAACACATAAGTGTATTTCTCAACCTTGTTAACCATCAGGGAAGTGCAAATTAAAACACCCACCAGGATGGCTTCAATTAAAAAGGAGCGTTTAAGATGTGGAACAGCCAGAACTCTGAGAACATGCTAGTGGGAATGTTGATTGGTACTAATCACCACTTTGAAAAACCATCCAGCAGCATGTACTAAACGTGAACATATGCATACTCTACTGCCCAGCAATTCCATTCCTCAGTATACATCCAAGAGAAATGCAAACATGTGTTCACAGACAACACTTACTAGGATCCTTACAGCAGGATCATTCACAATAGCCCAAATCAGGAAGCTGTGGAAATGGCCAGCGACAGTAAAATGGATGAATAAATGGTCGTACAGTCACACCATGGAATAGGAATTCTACACAGCCATGAGCATGAACCACCTCCAACCACACACAGTTTTGGTGTACCCATGGATAAATTTCACAAATATAATGTTGACCAAGAAAAGCCAGACATAATAGAATTCACACGATGGGATTCTATTTATATAGATCACAAAAACTGATCTAGGTGTTAGAAGTCAGGGTAGTAGCTCCCGTTTGAGGGGTCGTGACTCAAGGGGCAGAAGGGGGACTTCTGGCGGCTGACCATGTTTCTTGATCTGGGTGCTGGCTACATGAGCAGGCTCAGCTGGTGAAAATTCATTGAGCTGTGCACTCAGGACATGAAGCACTTTTCTGTATCTATGTTATGTACTTCAATAAAACATTAAAACAGGTAACAGAATGAGGGGTTAAAGCTACAGAGCAGCTGAAGTAATAGAATCATGTATTTAGATACAAGTAGACTGTATCACCCTTCCCGTCGGTCAGTTTGCTGTACTGTGGTGGTTTTTATGTTGCTGTGATGCTGGAAG